AATTACAGCTGTGTGCCACAGCACCCGGCTACTTTTTTTCTTTTTAATTTAAATTCCTACCCCCTCCTCTCCTCTCCTCCCCTGGCATAGACAAATCTGTCACTTTTTATAAAGCTGTCTTTCAATAGATTTTATTTTATTTTTTTAATGTGATGCTGAGAATTGAGCCCAGTGCATCAAGTATGCTAGGCAAGGACTCTACCACTGAGCTACAACCCCAGCCCCTCAATAGATTTTATATTTGTCTTACAATAGAACTGTGGAAGTCTCCAGTGGCTTTTTTTTTTTTTTTTTTTGTAGTTCCTGCTTTTGAAAGTGTGTGTTCCTGTTTTTCCTACATAATAGAAAAAAGAAAAACTCTTCTGGCTCTTGGAAATTATCCACAGACCATCAAAATTCCCCTAAAAATAGAGCAAATGTTATGTTTCATAATTAAGCATCTGAGCATTATTTTGATTACAATCAAAAACACTTTCTGATCTCTAATGATTTCATGCCTTTGAAGAGTTTTTCTAATCCGTTGTTGTTTGGTTTTCGGGTTGGTTGTAGGGAATGAACCCAGGACCTCCTGCATGCTATAGATGCACTTTACCACTGAGCCAAACCCCCAGCCCCCAGTTCATCTTTTTTAAATCTGCAAATATATATATATATATTTAATGGTTCTGATTTTTTTTAAGAGAGAGAGAGAGAGAGAGAATTTTTTGATTTTTTTTTTTTTTTTTTTAGTTTTCGGCGGACACAACATCTTTGTTTGTATGTGGTGCTGAGGATCGAACCCGGGCCACACGCATGCCAGGCGAGTGTGCTACCGCTTGAGCCACATCCCCAGCCCTGCAAATATATATTAAATCTATTTTATCCAGTGATTCAGGAGGCTGAGGCAGGAGGATCACAAATTGGATGCCAGCCTTGGCAACCTAGTGAGACCCTGGCTCAAAATAAGAAACAAAAGGACATGTAGTTCAGTTGCAGAGTACCCCTGGGTTCAAACCCGGGTAACCCAAACAAAAACAAATAAAAATAAAAGTAAGTAATCATAGCCCTTTAAATTTCTAATGCTGAGAGAGTTCATAAAAATGTTCTAACCAGGGGCTGGGGTTGTGGCTCAGTGATAGAGCACTTGCCTAGCATGTGTGAGGCACTGGGTTTGATCCTCAGCATCACATAAAAATAAATGAATAAAATAAAGGCATGTGTCCAACTACAATTTCATTTTTAATTAATTTAAATTAATTTGTAATTAATTTTAAAAATTAAAAAAATATAAATATTCCAACCAACAGATCCCCTAATTTCACAGAAAGGAATTAAATAACTTATTCAAGGTCACCCAGCTTCCAGAGATAAAATGGGGATTTGAGTTTCTGATTCCCAGGTCAGTCTGGGGGATTAAATGTTCATCCAGTCATTTTTATTTATGGCCCGTTTGCTGTGACGAGGGCTCTATGGTAACACTAGAGGATACACACTGGTGAATAAAACAGACATGGTTCTTAGCCTCCTCGCAGTGACCATTTGATGGGAGGGACTGACAAAACAAACATTCAAGTAAGAAATGAAAGATAATGAKAAATTGTGGTAGTTTTCTTGAAGGAAACTAATGAGATTATGTGACTGAGAATAAYTGGATTAGGGGAAATCACTTCCATGCAGGTCAAAGAASGCCTCACTGAAGAGGTGACTTATARGCAGGGATGAAGACATGAAGCACCCAATCATAGAGAAACAGATAAGGACTTCAAAGTAGTAAATTGTGCCAGAGGATAAGAAACAAGTTTTTCAGGTTAGAAGTAGAGATAAGAGGCCCTGGCAGCTGTGTGGGGTGGACCAGAGGCAGAGAGGCTGGACCCCAGGCTGCAGAGCACAGTCTTAATGCCTGTGAAAAGACTGTATTCCAAGTGCAGTGGAAACCCTGGAAGATTTTTTCTAAGTGGAATGACCTGATCCTGCTTTATGTTTTTCAAGTTACCTTGACTTCATGGACATAGTATAAAGATAGCTTGTTTTTTTTGTTTATTTGTTTAATTCTACTAAACATGATAAGAAGAAAAAGACAGCTAGTTTCTCCAGGCATAGAAAGTATGTTGCCTATGGAAATATAAGGTGACAACTTAGGAAATTTTACTAGAAAACTGAGAATTAGTTGTCATTACATCCTTTTGATTATTGTTCTTAGGAAAATCTTTGAGACTGCTAACTRAACACTTGGTACTTTGCAAAGAAAGATGATCTTTGTCTTTACAGAGCTAGGCAGTTGGAAATATAGGCCAATGGAAAGAAGGCAAGAGAGTACATTATTACAGGTAAGAGTAAAATTTGTCTTTTGGAATTCTCTAGTTCTAAAACTCTCTCTCTGCTCTGTATGCATACAACACCCATAGTCTTCAATATTACAGCCCAATCACAAAAACTTCTGTGATTTTTTTTTATATGAACAGCATTAAGAATCTTGTCTCAAAATTTCTGTAACATTCTATAATGTCCTAGTAGCAAAGGGACCCCAAAGGCTTCAGAGTTTCTCTGAAGTTGCTAACCTGATGTGTGTTGGTAGAAACGGCCACAAGGAACGTATTCCAGAGAAATTGATAAACATGATTATAAATCTCAATTTCAGATCTTCAGTCATGATAATCAGGAGAGGCCTAAGAGATCCACTAATCCGCTTAGTTCACTTTACAGATGAAAGATTGAGACTCAGTGAGGTGGAGGTCACAATAGCTGATTGGTGACAGGGCTCTGAGCTCAGACAGACTCCTATCTCCAGGAGCACTTCCATTCAAGAAGATCATCCAGGAGGGGGTGTCTCACATCCCATGAGACAAGGAAAGCTGAGCAGCCTTCCAAAGACAGCTCTAGAGATACTCTCACTGGAAAGAGAGTCTTCCCTGTAATTCTTGTCCAGCCATCAGCTATTTACTGAGGATCTACTATATACCAAAGTTATTAGTGCCATGGAAATACATAAAGGTCCTAAATGAAATGATTATAGGAAAACAGTTCCTGCTACTCTGCATGTTGTTCTCATAAGCTTAAAAAAAAAAAAAAAAAGGAAAGAAAAAAAGTTCAGAAAGAAAAGCACTGGCATAGAAGAGTGGACAGGAACAGGAAGGATGTTCCAAGAGGGAGGATCAGCATCAGCGATGATATTCAGGTAGGGGTAATAGAAAAGAAAAAGAAAAACAGTTTCTGTGCATTGTCATCAGTGAACAACAATTGTGAATGACTAGGATGTTTGAGCATTAGTAAGGAGAAAGGAGTGGAAATAATCTTATATGAAAGGAGCCAGACTAAGGAGAGCCTCGGAAGTCAGGTAGTCAGCTTAGATCAGTGAACAAGATAGATTTAGCCTGCCAGGGGATGAAAACATAAGCATCTAGAATGTTGAAAAAAAAGATTGGTATTCTAGCCGGGCAGAGTTGTTCATGCCTATCTATACTCCTAGMGGCTCAGGAGGCTGAAGCAGGAGGAATGCAAGGTCGAGGCTAGCCTCAGCGATTTATAGGGAGTCCTTAAGCAACTTAGCAACACCCTGGCTGGGGATGTGGCTCAGTGGTAAAACACCTCTGTGTTCAATCCCCAGTACCAAAAGAGAGAGAGAGAGAGAGAGAGAGAGAGAGAGAGAGAGAGAGAGAGAGAGAGAGAGAGAGAATATTCTAAGAAGAGAATTGAGCAAAAACATAAACTGTATAAAATGTAATACATTTGTGAGTAAGCATTGAATGTTTACTGAGCCCTGGATTTGTAGAAGGAATTAGGCAGGAATTAGTCTTTTTTTTTAATATTTATTTTTTAGTTGTAGTTGGACACAATACCTTTACTTATTTTTTATGTGGTGCTGAGGAAATCGAACCCAGGGCCTTGCACATGCTAGGTGAGCACTCTACCACTGAGCCCCAGCCCCAGCCCCCAAGACATGGTCTTTTATTGGTCAAATAAAGTATGACACATCCATACAGTGGCACAGCATACCACCACTAAAAAGAACATGGAAGCCAGGAGTGGTGGTTCACACCTGTAATCCCAGTGGCTAGGGAGGCTAAGGCAGGATTGCAAGTTTGAGACTAGCCTTAGCAATGTATAGTGAGGCCCTAAGTAACTTAGAAAGACCCTGTCTCAAAATAAAAAATTAAAAGGGCTAGGGGTATGGCTCAATGGTAAAGTCCCCCTGGGTTCAATCCCCAGTACATAAATAAATAAATAAGCAGGGCAACAGGGCACAGTGGTACACACCTGTAATTCCAGCTACTAGAGAGGCTGAGGCAGGAGGAGTAGCCTAGCCAATTTAGCAAGACTGTCTTAAAAGAAAAATTAAAAGCTGGGGATGTATCTTAGTGGTAGAGCACCCCTGGACTGACTCCTTTGTGTTTTATATCATATGCATATATTGCCAGTTTTAAAATGATTTTTTTTAGAAATTTTAAAATAATTCAGTTCTTTTACAATGGCATTCCCCATTCCGTGATGTGCCTCCTGTTTGCCAACTTCCCCTGTGAAATACACAGACCCTCTACAGCTTTGCCTTTCCTACATCTGGAGTCTCTAGTAGCAAGAGCCCGTGTGCAGCTCTCCTGCCCCTCCCTCCCTGCTTGCCTCCACAGGAAAAGAAACAATAAAAAAGAAGAAAGTTATATCTTCCSGTCTCTAACTCTTTTTATTAACGCAGACTGCCTTCCATCATCTGATTCCCAAGTCTTTTATTAACCTGTCCCCTACAAGATGGGGACATTTTCTTAAGTGTAGAAGAGGAAGGGAGTTTTTTAAAAGAAAAAAGAAAAGAAAAGAAAAAGAAAGGAACCCAGACCAGTGACTAAATGCACTTTCTTCAGGCTCTTGTTTGAAGTGCGTGTGTCCTCTCAGTTTTAAGGACATGCCTTTTAGAAAAAAAGGGCATTTTGTCTTCAGTCCAAACAGACCCAAACTTTTTCTCTCATCACGTGCCTGGCTGGAGCCAGTGGGAGGCTCTGTAACGCGATCAGATCTCTAGGGCCAGCCTCCCCGACCCACCCGAATAACAACAGGGTTAGCAGGCAACAGACACTTGAGCACTTTTAAAGGGAAGAGATCCAGGCTTGACCTCTCACCAGGACCTTGGAGAAGCTTGGGAACAGCCCACCGCAGAGGTAAGTGGGAGCTACTATGGAGGAGAGCTGTTTGGGAAGGTCGGGACACATTCAAGTTCACCTACAGAAGGGCAAAATGTACTCTTCCCACCTCTGCCACCATCCTGTCCTCCCTACTTACACCACAGGTGAGGTCTGCCTCCGAATACTGTCCTGGGACATTTTCCTACCTGTTTCTCACAGATGTCTGAATCCTCTGCCTACGTGTGTACCATCCATCTCCTCTGTAGTTTTGTTTTCCTGGCAATTGACAAGTAATTCGAATGGACTGGGTTTGGCTTCAGATTCATGCACAGGAGYGATTCCCAAGAGGCAAATCAAACTGGAAGACTGTTGGGAAGCTACTGTTGACTGCTGCTCATCTCTAATCTGACATCACCTGGAGGGAATGGGGCAATAATAACAGCTTTTAAATCTCTGAAAGGATGTGTGGGCTTTGAGCTGGACAGCCAGGTCAAAACTGTTTCCCRAAACATTCTAAGATATATCAATAGTGGTTCCAGGTGTGGAATTGTTAGGGGTCTGATGGGACCTACAGGACTCCCACCAAGGTTATGGAGTGAGAAGCATGCCCTCAGATGGAGAGAAATCAGAGGCCAGTATTTTCAGGGTACCCCTACAGGCCCTTTGGAGCATCAGATCAGCAAGACAAGATGCTGACTTTTGGGTTGTGTCAGTTTCATATAGAAGTTCAACTACATTTCTCTGGTTGGAGCACAGAGATGTGAAGATGTGATTCAGTTTGCTAGAACAGAAATGCACTGAGCATAAGCTTCTGATATTGGACCAAATAGTAGGTAGCACAAGGGCAAGTCACTGAAATGCTCAACAACAAACGTTGGACACATTCTCAGGACAAAAAGCAATGCTTTTTGTTCCTTTTTCTCATCTTTCACTTATTCAGCAAACACTTCCTGAGTGTCTGCTCCATGCCAGGTGCAGTCCTGTGATCTCATAGTAAACAAGACAGGCAGGCTCTCTGAGTCCCCTCCCAGGAGTGCAGTCAAGTGGGGCAGTAAACGCAAGGTCCTTGCTAGCACTGCAAGGACCATGCAGCAAAAGGAGTAAAACAGCCCAAAGGGAGTTGTTTCTGTCTTGGAGGCTAACCTTTACCTGGAAGCATTTCTCTTCCTGAATCAATACCTATGGCTCTTCCTTCTGTAGGAGCCTCACACTTGAACAGACCTTGGGTCATAGCAACTCTCAGAACCTTCACCAGAGGTGTTAGGCTGTGTTCCAGCATTTCAGCTCAATTTCCCAGCTCTGGAGGAAGAAAGCTCGGTTCTTTTTTAGAATACAAACAGCCTAAGAACAAARGCGTAAGGGGCGTTCCTCCTCAGGTGCCTTCTCCCTGTGTCTCTCCATTTCCCCACTTATTTGTGCTATTCCAAAACCACATGTAGCACCAGGCAAAGTGTTAGGAAACCTGGAATTTTTTTTTTCCCCTTTGCTGTACTGGGGATTGAGCCCAGWTGTGCTTTACCACTGAGCCACATCCCCAGCCCTATTTTTTTTTCTATTTTTTAATTTCAAGACAGGGACTCCTTAAATTGCTGAGGCTGGCCTTGAACTTGCAATCCTCCTGYCTCAGCCTCCAGAGTTGTTGGGATTACAGGCATGTTCCACTACACCYAGCTGGAAACCTGGATTTTGCCAGAAACTGTGTGGAGTTTGGAGTGGGTCCCCTCTGCTATTAAGTTTCATGTCCTTATCTCTAAGATGGAAAAGCTGGACCAGGTGATCATGAGGGCTTTTTGTGTTTTTTTGTTTTCGTTTGTCCTCTAAGGGTAAATTTTTAAAATAATTTTATGTTTATAAAGAAACAATACATCTTCCCATGAAGATGATATATCACATACCTATGAAAAAGGAATAGGTGACCATGCAGACAGTCAAGCCAGGAACCTAGAATCTGAAAGACTGGATGCAGGAAAACCTCAAAATTCAACTGTCTCTACTCCTCCCACCCTTACCCTATTTCTCCAACCTGTGTTCAAATTCTTACAATCATGAACTCCAGCTATGATTTTRTTATATCATTGATCTAGATTGGAGATTTTTCAATAAAAAGCTTGCACAGCCAGAATCATCCACTTTCAATAAGAACCCACAGAGATTATTTAATTTGGATACTCTCATAATTTATATCAGATTGCCTTTGAGGAGCTATAAAATTTATCGATATCCATAGCTATAAAATATTAGAAACTTTACTTTTAGTGAATTTTATTTCTTTATCTTCCCTGACTGCATTTCCTTCTTAAATCACTATTTCATGTTTTCCTCTTCAATACTTTATCATTGGAAAATCAAATTATATAATATTATTTTATAAAATAAGGCAAAAAAAATCTTATCTTATTTATCCTCGTATCCCACATGTCTAGCATTGTGTCTGGCACATAATAAATATCTCCTGAAAGAATGATTAATTTTTTAGAGAAAATGTGTACTTTAGGGCTGGGGATATAGCTCAGTTGGTAGAGTATTTGCCTCGAATGTACAAGGCCCTGGGTCCAATCCCCAGCACCATAAGTAAATAAATAGTCTTTGATTTAAAAACAAAAACAGAAACATGTACTTTAGTAGCAGCTCCATTATTCATGGCTGGTCTTATCCATTGTGGACTTTTCAATCTCTGACACCCTGCATTCATCAACCTCAACACATTCTATATTTTCTACAGTCTTAGGTGTGATAGTGAATACTAAATTCAAATTCTGCCTCTAACTATGTCAAATTTGAAGCCAAACACTGAACATTTCTAAGCCTCCATTTCTTCAGAAGGGAAATGGGGGCATCAGAAGAAACAAGCTCTAGACAACTTCTTAGATTAGGGAGATTTCAAAAAGAGGAGGAGGAGGAGGAGGAGGAGGAGGAGGAGGAGGAGGAGACAAGACAGAGAAAGAAAACCCAATAAAAATATAGTGATTATGGGCTGGGGTTGTGGCTCAGTGGCAGAGTGTTTATCTAGCACTTCTGAGGCACTGGGTTCGATTCTCAGCACCACATAAAAAGAAAGAAATAGGGCTGGGGTTGTGGCTCAGCAGTAGAGCACTCACCTAGCACATGCGAGGCCCTGGGTTCAATCCTCAGCACCACATAAAAATAAATAAGTAAATAAAATAAAGGTAGTGTGTCCAACTACAACTAAAAAATAAATATTTAAAAAAAGAAATGAATAAAGGTATTGTGTCAACCTATAAAAATATTTTTTTAAAAATAATGATTGTAGTACTTAAATATTTTAAATATTTACAAAATTGCTTTAAATTTTACTTACCAAATTTTCTTCCTTCTTCTTTTTTTTTTTATTTTGCACTTAAGATTGAACCCAAGATCACTCTACCACTGAACCACATCCCTAGCCCTTTTAATTAATTAATTAATTAATTAATTAATTTTGGTACCAGGAATTGAATCCAAGAGCACTTACCTACTGAGCCACATCTCCCAGCCCTTTTTTGGTATTTTATTCAGAGACAGGGTCTCACCGAGTCGCTTAGGGCCTTGCTAAATTGCTGGGGCTGACTTTGAATTTGCAATCCTCCTGCCTCAGTCTCCCAAGTTGCTGTGATTACAGGTGTGCTCCATCAAATCCAGCCCCAGCTCTTTTTATTTTATTTTGAGACAGAATCTCCTAGGTTGTCCAGAACTGTCCTCCTGCCTCAGCTTCCTGAGTAGCTAGGATTACAGGTGAACCGTGCTCAGCTTTTTTTTTTTTTTTTTAATATTTATTTTTTAGTTTTCAGTGGACACAACATCTTTATTTGTATGTGGTGCTGGGGATCCAACCCAGGCCACATGCATGCCAGGCAAGCTCGCTACCGCTTGAGCCACATCCCCAGCCCCCCTGCCCAGCTTTTACTTGGCAAATTTTCTAACTTAAATACTATGATTGGGAAAGAACGCTTTTTTGGGTAAAGACCCACCTGCACCCCCATTTTTGAGATCTCCCCCAGAAACTTTCTTACTGTGTTCACATAAAAACTGAAAATGTGTCAACAAGAAGGCAGAGAGGCTCAGAAAGCAAGTTGGTTTGGTATAAAATATTCAGCAGAATGATACTGTTGTGAATCTTAGAGGACTCAGACACCTAGATAAGTATCTCAGGAGTTGGCTACAGGCGTTCTGGCAAAGCTGAAGAATAAAGGGCAAGTTAGAAAATGTTTCGGTTGTGCTAATAAAATCAGATGTCCTTAGATAAATGCTGCTACTCCTACACGTACTCCTACAGACTTTCTCACCACCAGAAGATAAAGTCATTCTCCCTTTGGCCAGAGATGTTGTGGAACCTCACGGTCAGAGGTTGAACTTGGATATCAGTCCCTAATCACTCAGTTGCATCAATGCCCAGTTTCCACAGACACAGTGACCTGAAGTGCACCAGGCCTGACTCATTCCAGGGTCAAAGTCTTATGATTGTACTGAGAGCCTGGTCTCTACGGACTTCTGCTTTTGATTTTAATGTCTGATTCTGTTTACTTAGACTTTATTCCCAGGTACATCTGATGAGTTTGAGGTAGCTTCCAATAAAAGGATATAGCTACCATGAAATAAAAACTGATTTAAAAACCATCAAACACTAAATATCTTTTAAATTGTTTTGTTTTTTTTTTTTTTGAAAGAGAGAGTGAGAGAGGAGAGAGCAAGAGAGAGAATTTTTAATATTTATTTTTAGTTCTCGGCGGACACAACATCTTTGTTGGTATGTGGTGCTGAGGATCGAACCCGGGCCGCACGCATGCCAGAGAGCGCGCTACCGCCTGAGCCACATTCCCAGCCCACTAAATATCTTTTATATGGTTTTGAGGGGAGGGTGTGATCCATACAGAAAAGAGTCTGGTGCTTGAACTGCTATCACTTTGATTTTGGACAACATAAAATTATTAATGAGAAGAAGTCTGGGGGTGGGGGGAGCAGTTGCAGTCACCACAACTTGGGCACTGGATTTTAATCGTAAGTGTCCTTAACAATCTCCTGAAAGCTATGGATCCTTC